CGTCCCTCTTACCTCCTTAAGGAGGTAAGAGGGACGGCTTGTAGACAAAGGGCCTTTTTGGCAGCTGCCCCCAGACTACGGAATGCCCTCACAACTTAGATTTGTCTGGCGCCGACGCTGATGACATTTCGGCGCCAGGTCAAAACCTTCCTGTTCCAGAAGGCTTTAAATTGAAATAATATCAGCTGTGGGTCCGATGACAATTTTTAGAGTTTATATTTTAGTTGCAATTTAATTGTTTTGACTTTTTATCGTATTTTAAATGTTGTAAGCCACCCAGAGACCTTTGGGTAGTGTGGGCGGCATATAAATTAATTAAATAAATAATATAAATAAAATACTACATACAAGGAGTTTCTAATACAGTGGTTTTGGAAATACCTTTGGTATTTAGCTTTCTGATACCATCAAAAGGCATGCCAACCCAAGAAGTGAGGTATTTTTAAAGGCCCCTGCTGGCCAGTCGGGGGAAAAAATTAATGTGCACCCCAAATAAATCAATTTCACCCATGTGTTGTGTGCCTGGGAATTAATGAATCGATTTAAATAAGGATAAAATTGATTCCACTGTGGTTCTTATTGCCAGTAGAACTGCACCTTTACAGTGACCCTGTGACACAACTCCGTCTCTGGGACCTTTAGTATGTTCTGGTTCCTCACAAAGACGCAAGCTGCATCTACCTTCCTCACACTGCCACCAGATGTTTTCTTTTAAACATCAATCACTTCAAGGACACACCAGTTAATAAACATGTTAAGTTTATTTATCAGGCTGGGGTTAATGATTAGTTGAAAATAACAGAGTCAATCACAGGAAGCAAATTACATATATAACAAAGAATTTTCGCGCCCTCGCTAAGCTCCAAAATGGCCGCCGCAATACCCGATCTTCGCAATGTGGGTTTTCCCCATTGCGAAGATCGGGTATGTTTCCGTATAGCGATCCCGAAAAAGGGATCGCTATATGGAAACATCGCTATACGGTGCACTCGTTAAGCGAGGCACCACTGTATAACCAAGACTGTATTTAACTTCTTCCATTACTTCAATATATTTCCGAATCTCTGATTTCAATCTACCTCAACCAATCCCCTTTGAACCTCTGATCTCAATCTTTATGTTTGTCCTCTCATTCTACTCTCACTGTCTTACACTCCTATCTATCTCACACTCTGCCAAACTTATATCACATAGAACTCCCTCTGTCCTCCAGACTCCTCCTTTTGCATCCCCCCTTCTCTCCTGCTCCCGCCTTCTGTCCTCCTCATTGGCTCTCCTGCCGAGGTTCCCTTGTGACAGGCAGGTGCTGACTGGGGTACCCGCTACAGACCCTAATAGGGTTTTCAAGGTATATAAGATGCTTAAAGAGTGATTTGTGAGCTTCCATGCCTGAGTTTGGATTTGAATCCAGATCTTCTGGATCCTAATCCATCACTCCAACTACTATACCACACTGGCATTCCGATCTTTCTATTCACTATCTTATAATCCTCAAAGAAGAAAGAAGATTTTACTCGTTCATTCAAAAGCAGCATAGTCTTTAGCTAGAGCTACAGTGGGGAACTTTTGGTCAAACAGATTTTTAGACTACAGTTCCCCAAATTAGCTGTGCTGCCTGGGGCCTCTGGAAATCCAAAATAGTTCAAAAGTCAAAGGATCTCTTTCTTATTCTAGATAATGGGGACAGGGGCAGCCGAGAAAGCAAGTACAGTATCAGGTATCTGAGCTCTTGTGAGAACACAAAATTCTTCTTTGGGCACCAATTTTGTTCTATAACCATAAGGATTGGGAAATGTGCCGTCTTTCAGATTTTATTGTTAACTGTTGTAAGCCACATTGAGTCCATCTACAGGGAGAAAAGTAGGGTATAAATCAAATAAATAAATAAACTCTCAGCCTTCCTCACCAATAGCTCAGTTGGTGATGGCTGTTGCAAGTCTGGCCCCACTTAGCCCCACTCTTGTAATAGATGCTTTCACCTCTCCAGAGATCCTGTCCACATCATCAGCTGCCCAGACTGAAACGTATCTATTGTAACAGGGCAAGGAGAAACCAAAGTTACATCAGCAGTACTTGCATCAACTACGGCATCTAAATCATAACGCATCCGAGTGACTTTCTCTGCAAAGTGCTATGCAAAATCTTCACAGTGGGCTACTGAATGGTCAGCGTCCTTCTCTAGTGGCCATCTGTGCAACAGGCCCTTGACCACCCGAAAGAGCTCCACTGGGTGGCTTTGTGCAGGTGCAGCTATGCTTCTTCCACCACTGCCACAGAGTAGACTTTCAAATGGTCTCTAGCCTGTGGTCAATTGGATTTGCTCTGAGTTTTCTATCATTGTTCTAGTCTCTGTTGCACTTGTTTCATCATACTTAGAAGCCGTTGTTCTAAGAAGAGCTCCAGGTCTTCATTTCCAAGGTTCTGTAATGTGAAGTTATCAGCACTAATGTTATTATGTCCAACAACAACAAAAAGAGGCGGCAGAATCCTATGGTCCTTGTGATTTTTGTTTAATGATCTCACCCACTCTTGCCTTCAAAGAGTTCTTATGCAGTTGTCAATGCCAAGGGAGTTTACAGAGAACAAACCTAGGGTTCCCCCCCCCAACAGGTGTGTAGGGATATGCATGTATTGAGTATGTCTCTTTCACATACAGAGAGAGAAGAGGTACTTTTCTGGACAATAGTTCCCATGCTAGCTAGTGGATTACAGGAGATATAGTTCAAAAAAGCAACTTTTCTGAACTATGGTGTACAGATGTGTGTGCATGCATCCACATGGGAAGAGGCAGGCTATAGTTAACAAAAATGTTGGAGGCATTTGCACACTGGCTTTTGAATGGCCAAGGACCTAAATGGCTATTACAGTTATTGAAGCTGTGACAGAACTGCAGTGCCATCCTCGCCCACCCATTTAAAAAAATCTATTCAATCCAGTGTCCTTGGGTTTGTCCTTGAATATTTCAAGGGGTGGCATTTTCTTGTCCTTTTATAGATAACCTGCTTGCTGGATTCACTGCCACCATCAAAGTTGCTGCTAGGTATTAAGCACAGTACAATTTATATGCCAGAGAAAGCAGGGCAATAACCTTTCAGAGATATTACCTGCAGTTTCCTCTAGAATTTCCAGAACAGTCTCAATAAAAGAATAATGTTCAGCTTGTAATATTCTGCTTGTCACATCTGTTAATATTTCAGCCAAGAAAAAATGAGATTCTGTGCTACCACATGTTATGTATAGAACCTACTACGGCACTTTGGGTGCTTTTAAGAGAATGGCTTCTGTCGCATATATATTTATGTTTTACTCTTGGAAGATGTGCTTTAGGTTTGTAGGGCTGGACCACAAAGAAATATATTAGTTACATGAATATTCTTAATAGCAATATTAGTACTGTTCTTGGTATTTTAAGATCTTATTGTTGCCAATTAAAGCCTCTGTTCTTCTCTCTCTCTCTCTCTCTCTCTCTCTCTGTGTGTGTGTGTGTACCAAGTTTACAGAGAACAAAAAGAAGTGGAACTACTTTTTTATTGAATACATGAATTTTTCAGGACTCAACATATCATTTTAAAGCTCCAGTTTCTACTATTGTTTGATGAGTTCTTGAATGTCTTATTTCAGTGTTGCGAAGGGGTTGTTGCCGGCACCCTGGGTGGACCATCAGAGGCCATAGCTCCCAGGCAAGGGAGATGGGTGGTGATGAGGGCTTCCTTCCTGTGAGGGAAGAGAGCGAGACAGAGGCCAGAATAAAGGGTGGAGGCCTTGGGGACTTCCTTTGGGGATTCAGAGACTTCGGAGGAAGAAGAGATGTGGAGAATGGCCACTGAGGCTTGGGATCCCCAGTTCTCTGCCTTGGACGAGGTAGAAAGTGACTGGGAAGAGGCGCCCCGAGCTGAAGTTCCCAAGCTCCACCCGTTGGGTACAGGAAAGGGCCACAGACAAGGGTCCCTGGAGCCAGGACTCCAGCAACCTACAGCACTTCCAACATAACCTTGGTGCCCATGTTGTCCAACGAGAGCAGTGGTGCCCACCTCAGCCCGGCAATGGTGCTGGTGATGAAAGTGCAACGAGAGCAGTGGTGCCCACCTCAGCCCAGCAATGGTGCTGGTGATGAAAGCGCCAGCACAAGAAACAGAGGCGGCTCCAGGAAGAGCAGGCACCTGTACCTCTTATCGTGCTCTACTGGCTTTGAAGGATCTTCAACCAGGATTCGGGACTCATCCTCCCCTCCTGTATTTTGAGGCCACAACTTCCAGGGCACTCTGGGCCCTTAAAAGGGGACTCTTTTGAAAGGACATTCCTTGGGGTGTTGTGTGTGTTAGTGCTGGAAACTTAGCTGTCCAGGAAGCTCTTGGAGTGAGTTATGGATAGCATTCCTGTTCCTGTTGGTTCCTTATTTGCAGCAAAGTCTGTTCTTGGTCATTCGCACAACCTGGAATCCGTGGAATGACTGCTGGGAGACTCAATCACTGCCAGCAGCACTGGAGGTGGGTCCAGCAGTATTCAGAAATGTATATGTGAGCAACTTCAAGAAGGCTACATCCAAAAAGGCAACCCACAAGTCTGCTTAGAAAAAGCAATATATGTAAAGGTGTTGTATCACTGGGCTTCAGGTGAGGGAGCCCCTGTCTTGCTCAACAGAGCACTGGACAGCCCATGGGCTGCTGTCTCCAAGGAGTAAATCCATGCAAGGTTGCCAGTATCTCTCTAAAGTTTCCAGCATGCCTATGTTCCTACAACAGCTGCAGAGCACAGAGAATTTCAGCAATGTTTCTTGTCTTTCTTGCACGGTTGGGAGAAAAGCTACATCTATCAAACACCACCTGATCACGCTGCTGTTGCAGAGACTGAAGCCGTCTTCCGGTTAGACATTGGCAACTTTAGACTTTTATTGAAATGATGATGTGTTCAAGTGAGTAGACTAGGGTTGATCTTGCCCAGCCATGATCAAGAAAAGAAGAAAAGGAAGAACGCAGGTAGCCAGTCTTGTGCTCCATGGTTTATTAATCCCTTGACAGAACCAGGTATGTGCCTTCAGCCTCTCTCCATCTCCTCTCTCTTTCATTCATACACACTTTTTCTCACTCCCTCTCCCCTCCCACCCCATATCCATCACCTGCCAGATCCTTCTCTTTTTCTTGTCCAATCCCTGCAAATCTTTAAAAAGCCTTATGCAGCAGCTCCTGTAAATTTGAGATTTGAGCCTAGGGTTTTACTCCACCATAAGCTTCTACTACTAGATGCCTCAATCCCATAGCATCCTTCCCCTCTGTATGATGATCCTAACAGCCCATATTTCAGGAGTTTCCTTTTGCAGCAGAAGTGATGATATCCTGTTAAGAGTTGGAGCCCCCTACTCTAAGCGGCCTCACTCACTTCCTCCTTTGGGGTTCTGGCCCTCCCAACCTTTGTCCTTGCGTTGGCAGGAACCCTTAATTTAGGGGGAAGAGCAACTGAACCCTTGTCCAGGAGAGCTAGCCATGCTAAGGAGGCCTGCTAAGCTGGAGGGGTAGACTTTCATTGAAGCTAGAGAGATACAAGCCCCACCATACCACCAGCCCTCAAACAAGGAGTCCTGCTCCGTTGGGAGTTGGCAGGCATGTTCAATGGCTTTGGTCCCAGAGGCAAGGCTGGGCAATTGGCTCATCCTCATTCTCTGGGCAACACCCACTTTCCTTCCTGCCTTCTCCTGCCCCTCCACAGCCTGCAGACCAGTCGCCATTAATGCTGCAGGAGAAGGGCCTTGAGGAAGCAGGGGGCCTGTGTGCCTGTGCTCGGGTCTGGAGTGAAGCTACACATAACTGTCAGGGCCCATTCACATGGGTAGGTGCCTGCACAATGTAATTATGGGGTAGATGGTTGAGTAGTGGAGTTGCAGTTCCTTTTGCAAGCAGTGGCCAGAATTTTAGTCCTTACAGTGGCAGGAAGCCTCCCTCCTTCCCCTACATGCATGCACACGCAAGTACACACACATACACACACAGAGAGAGCGATGTCTCTTCTTTAGCCCTGCTCCCCACCCCCAGCTTCCAGGGCAGAAGAGCAGCAGAAGGAGAGAGGCTTCGGGGAACTGGGTACAGGCAGGGAGTGCCTCACACACATACATAATTGAGTCTGTGAGGCTCTCTTCAGTGGGGCTGTCACAGAGCGGGTGTGCAGGAGAGTGTGGGGGAGCCGGGGAGCCCAGGTTTTTGCGTAGGAGAGGGAAAGGCTTGAGATGGGTTAGTTCCCCTCTCTCACAATGGCAGGATCTACAGCATTTCATGTTGCTGCTGCATGGCTTCACTGACCACCTGGGGGGAAAAAGAGCAAGAGAGATTAAGACATTGCCCCGGTTGTCTCTGGGTCTCTAAAGCAAAGCCTGGAAAAGTTGCCCTTGGGATAGGAACACTCGAAAGGAACCAACCACCATAATTAGTGGCCCTGGGAGTTGTAGTTAAGAGAGAAAGAGAGAGAGAGAACTTTTCCAGGTTTTGTTTTCCTTATGCCAATTCCCACCCGAGTCCTACTTGTCAGGCACTTTCCCATCTGTGGAAGGCTAATCATTCATTGCCAGTATCGGGCAAGAGTTTCCTTTGGCTTGTTGTTTTTTTTTTTTTAAAGAATTTTCCAAAATTCACATTTTCCCCATTTAGGCGGGGTGTTGGCACTGAGTTAAACCGCAGAAGCCTCTGTGCTGCAAGGTTGGAAGACCTGCAGTCGTAAGATCGAATCCACGCGATGGAATGAACTCCCATCGCTTGTCCCAGCTCCTGCCAACCTAGCAGTCCAAAAGCACGTAAAAATGCAAGTAGATAAATAGGGACCACCACAGTGGGAATGTCACGGCATTCTGTGTCTAGTCACGCTGGCCATGTGACCACAGAAACTGTCTTCGGACAAACGCTGGCTCTACGGCTTGGAACCGGGGATGAGTACCGCACCTTAGAGTCGGACATGACTGGACTAAATGTCATGGGGAACCTTTACCTTTAGAAGGAAACTGAGACTTAAAAGAATTCTGGACGTGGAAGGAAACCAATGTGGATTTATTTATTTTTTCATTCAGGTTCAGGGATTTCAGTTCATAGCTTGTGGAAGTTGGGGTCTGAATCCCTGTGTTTTCATTTGTTAATACTGAACTGGGAGTTGCCACTTCTCCCCCCCCCCCAAAGGCTCCTCATTAATTGTAGGCAGGTAAAACACAGTCCTCTCAGAGCTGAGAAAAGACGTACCTACTGCAACTGGTCAAAGCGTAGGGGTGGGGGTTAATTTTAGTCAGCTTTTGGAGAATGTATAGAAATTTGCAAATGTCTTCATAACCCAAATTGGGGGGTGAGTATTTAAAAAAACAACAACAAATGCATGGGAAAGCAAAAAAGGCAGATTCTTATTTCATAGGTACAGGAGAAAGAAAAGAACATTGAGGCCTATGCTGACCCCATGTTTCTAATAGGTACACTCTGAGTAGGTTTCGCATCAAGAAGGTTGGAGAGTAGAGGGGATTCACAGTTCAAGCCCACTTCAAAGGTCTTTCTACAGGTTTCCCAGCTGCCTCCTGATTAAACCTCCCTCCTGCATGCACATTTGTCTGCTCACCTCCCCATCACGTGTCTCAATGGTTTTGATGGTCACTGTTTTCTTGGTGTGGACCTCAGAGCTCCGCTGCTCTGGGCTGGTTTCTGTAGGGCAGAAAGAGATATCGGTTGGTAACTCACATGTGGTAGAGAGAGGGTGTAGTTCACAAAGACAATGCAAAAGCTTTTCCAGTGCCATGGAGTCTCCTGGAGAGTGATACAGGATCCCGCATTGCTACGTCCATCCATGGTCTCTCCTTGAATCTTTCTTTTCTCATCATCATACATGATAACAAAGTTTGCTGCCACCACATAAAAAAGAGTATCTGTGTTGTTCTCTTTTCTACCTGATGTCTGCAACCAAATACGCCGTCCCCAAACCTAGCTGTTTGCTCTGATGCTTCTGCCTCTGCCAAAACAGAGCTTGAAATCAATGTGACCACGTCTATAATGATCTGACTTTGAACCTTTTCCAAACAAACTGTTTGAATAGCCTATTGGTGACAAAAGGCCTTTCAAGAAGAAAATTGATTTGGATGTAGATTCACAAGTCTCATTTAAAGAACAGAGGTGGATTATTACATGCTATGGATTCTTGGTTTTCAGTATTTTGCTAGAGAGGTAAAACTGTAGTAATGGTATCAGTGGCGCCGTAGGCAACTCACCCTTTCCTGCTCAGACTGTAGGTGGCTATGAACGATGTTTAGGAAATGTGATAAAATATTAACCTTTGCAATATTCTTCTTTCATACATGATAATTTGTTGTTGTTTCCACTAAAACTGAGCTCCCAGACTCTTTTCCTCTTCAGCAGTTTCACATATATTTATATTAGCAAACATATTTTTGAAATTCCATGGGAGAACAAGGGGTGGTTGGGAAAGGCAGTTTGTGACGGAAATGCACCCGCTGCCTAGTCCTGCAAATGGCTCCCGTCAGAGCCTGCCTTTCCTTCCAGAAAACAGATTATGTTGGTAAGTGGCAGAAGGGGAATTAATTGCATAAAACATTCTGCCTCCATTTATCATGTTTTGAACATTGCAGTTGATTCCCTACTAATGCTCCTGTTTTAAACACACACAGTAACAAAGGCACCCTCCCCAATACATATTTGTGCATGCAAGCCAGGATCTGAGCCACTTACCTCGGAAGTTGATAGCAGAAAAAGTTTGGATGGGCAGAGAAATTCTACATGAAAAAGAAGGGACAGGAAAATTAGTCCAGCTGCTGGTTTCTTCCTATTCTCAGGCCCCATTTGACACTACACCAAGATCTTGAAGCCTTTCTCTTTCTAATGTGCTCCTTTGCTCACTTTTCCAAACATTGCTTTCCAGTCTTCTTGTCCCTATTGCAACAACCACACCTTCTCACATCACACAGTGTACCAAAGTATTTGATAAAAGAAAAGCATGCTTCCTGGGGGACAAATGCTCACTTTTCTTTTTTAGGTCATATTAACTCCTCCAGATGTCACCAGAAGTTAAAAAAAACCCCTTCCTTGCTGATACTTTGGTGTAAACAGACATGCAGATTGGAGCAGGCCTTTATACCATAGCACTACACTAGGAGCTCATTTACAGCTCTTCAGATGTTGCTACCCTCTCTTTCCCGAAGCCTACTTTCTATAGAGTTCATCTATCCAACATATAGCCAGCACATGCACCAGGTCCAAACACTTACACACCAGCACTCACCTGCTCTCTTCACCTTCCAGCAACTTGCGGTAAGTTGCAATCTCAACATCAAGCGCCATCTTGACATTGAGCAGGTCCTGGTACTCGCGGAGATGCCGTGCCATCTCATCCTTCAAGTGTCGGATCTCCTCTTCAAGCCTCTGGATCGTGTCTTGATAATTGCCAGCTTCAGCTGAAAAGCGCTCCTCCATCTCCCTCATCTGCCTCATCAAAGAGTCATTCTGGAAGCAAAAGGGAGAAATTAGCTCTTCAAAGCAATCATGTGTTTGTATATGTATAGAAGGAATATGACTGTTTCTCCCCCCGCCCCCAAGTTTTCCTGTTCTCTAGCTATAGTCACCTGATTCAAATAGTGGCTGCAGATACAGGCAAGAAAACCATACCCAAGGCATGAGAAAGAATATGGGCTGGGAAGAAGGGAGCTACTGAGGAAGGAGATAGGAATCAAAAGGTCACAGGTTCCACTCAGGCCCAGAGGAGCGATCTTGCAGCTCATGAGGCAGTGGGCTATTTCTAATAGGGTGAACACAAGGAAGTGCAAAACAGAATCTTGATTGGAAGCTGCCTTATGTCTACTCAGACTGCTAGCTCAGCTTTCACCAACCTTCAGACTACAACTTCCACCATCCTTAGTCATTGGCCAAGCTGGGTAGTATTTACAACTGTTGTATACCAAACCAGGTGGACAGTATCAGTTTGACAAAGATTGCATTAGTTTTCCTCCAAAAATAGACTAGTTCTAGACTAGTTCTACCTGTTTCCATTGGCAAAGACATGACTGTTCTATCCCAAGACTTTTACTAGTCTGGCTACTTGAGACCCTTTTAACTAGAGATGGCAAAGATTCAACTAGAGAGCTAAAAGAGACAGTGTCTTGCACTCTACATGTGAATCAATTGTTTATGGACACAACTTTGGGACCTGCAACTGGTCAATGGAAAAATTCTTGGATTCTTAATTTGATCCTGCCACCAACTCAATCAGTGTTGGATCTCACCGTGCCCTTGAGTGCATCAATCTCACAGGTGTATGACTGGATCTGGTGCCGGTATTCCATCATCTCCTGCTTGGCTTGGCGCAGTGCATCATTGTTTTTATTCGCTGCCTGGGTCAGGTCGGACACCTGTATGCACAGAGAAAAGCAAGGTGGAACAGGTGAGGTGTATATGCAAGGTCATAAGAGGGATACACCTTTGTCATCACACGAGTGAGAGCCAGCACAAACCTGCCCTGAACCCCAACTCCCAGCCCAGCTCTTTCTTTTGCCTGCCCCACTCCATACCTTGGATTTATACCATTCTTCAGCCTCAGAGATGTTCTTTGCAGCAATGGTCTCATATTGGGCACGGATATCACGCAGTGCTGCTGTCAGGTCCGGCTTCGACACATCCATCTCCACCTGGATTTGCTGCTCTTGCAGCTGTGATTGCAGCTCTCGAATTTCCTGGAGAAGCCAAAGCCAAGCCAAGATCAGGAAAAGTGCAAAAGGAGTAGACTAAAAGTCTTCCAGCATCATGCCATATACTCCTCCTCAGTCTATATTCTCCCATCCCCCCCCTTTCCTCCACACCACCACCACAGTCCTTCTTTGTCCATCAGATCCTCCCTTGTAATGAAACCCTTGCGTTCATTCCTGTTTAATCTCCACCATCCCTCATTGCATTCACTCTTTTCGTTCCTCCCCCAGTCCCCACACTCTTCCCTCCTGGCAGGCAACGTTTTAAGAAGTACTGAGCCACAAAGGTATTCATTAAATGCCCACTTACCTCCTCATGCACTTTTTTGAGGAATGCAATTTCTTCCTGCAAGGACTCAATACGCCTCTCCAAGTCAATACGGGCCAAAGTGGCTGCATCGACATCCTATAATGGCAGAAAAAAGGGCAACAGGATCTCAGTGCTATTGGCCATGAGAGACTAGCTGCTGTTACAGAAGCCCAACTTTTGTTGCAGAAAAGAGGTGAACTAAGCTACTATTAAAGTACAGTATCAGTGTCTGAAAAGCCTGTGAAACTGACACCACAACCCGCTGATCTCTAAGCTACACCATCTGGGAATCTGGCCAACCAAAACCATGTGGGAAGTGCAGAAAATCCAGGAAATGAGTGGGAAGATTCAGGGCCAGTTCACATGATCCCTGAACAAGGGGCCAGCCAACCACTCATTTTCTCAGACAGATTCAGAATCCAGCATAGAAGCTTGCAATGAAGCAGCTGCCCAAGCTTTCTGCCCCATGCTTACTGTGTGTCAGTTCATAAATGGGTGGTGATGCACTGAGTGGATTTGCATGTACTCAAGGGGGAGCATTTCAGTAACCATTTTTTCCATAGGCATCTCAGAATGTCAGTCCAGGAAACACAGGGGTCCAAACACAGCCACAAAAATAGCATGCCGTTCTGTGTCATCCTGTCACTTCCAACTTTTGACAATCAGAATAGAGTTTTCAAGGTATTGGAGATGCTGAAGAAGTGGTGTTCCCATTGTCACTGCCTAGTAAGTTTCCATGGCTCAGCAGGAATTTGAACCCGTCTCCTAAATTATACTCCCATCCTCCAACCTCTATACCACAGTGGCTGTCACACAAAGGTAAGGCAAGCCCAATTTTGCTGCATGAAATCTATGGAAGGCAGCAGGGGGAGCTGTGTTAATTCAAGAATGAACTTTGGAAAACAGCTGAGACAGTGACAGAAGGGTGTGGTGAGAAAAAATATACCACCTCAAAACCTGCAGGTGCTACTCAGAGGAGAACTTTCCCCCCTTGCCAGTAGGAAAGCCAAACAAGATTCCTTCAGATCAAAGATCTGGTGTTGCTGGCCTGAGCAAGAGTTTTGCGCTGGCTTTTAAGTAGCACTTCTCCTTACTCACTCAGACACCCCTAATCACTGTGCAGGCAACACAAGGTCTCTTGACTTACAGCTCTGAAAGCGGCTAAGTTGTTCTCTGCTTCTTCCTTAAGGTGGATCTCTTCCTGCAGCCTGAGAGAGGGTGACAAAAAGAACAGGGAATCAGATTGATGGTCAAATCAAAGAAGACACTCATTGTCCTGGTGCTGCTTTTCATGGCGGAGAAGGTAGTGGAGAGAGATGCCTATGGGCCCGCAGAGCCCTGTGACCAGTGACTCCCCACAAACCATAGGAGTCATCTGTGCATCTGTAATAGGCAATTCTGCTGCATTCCAGGGGTGGGGTGCGATCTGGCTGGGGGCCAGCCTGCAATAGTTGGAGGAACATGCTCTCTGATCGCCTGTTATAGTCAAAACCTCAAGCACAAAGGCATGAGCTCACTGAAGGATAATGCTCACTCCCCCTTCCCTTTTAGGGTAGTGGAGCGTTGCTACAGTGAGACAGGCTGAAGCACCAGGCTGAAGCCAGGGACCTATGGAGAAGAAGAAAAAGCTTGGAAAATGCTGGGGGAGCGTCTTCCCCCTCCTCTTCTAGGATTGTGAGGAATTATGAAGACCTATTCACCACCACCCCAGAAGATCAGGAGATAGTTGTTGCCATGCTACGGGGACAGGTGGAATGCCACAGAGGTGCTAGAATGTCAAGGATGACAGTGTTCCCGACACTTTGATATGGGAGAAGGGTCACATCTCCTAGGCGATTTGGACAACAAAGGGAAGCTGTGGGGAGCATAGCTCTGGAGTTCTGGAACTCAGAGAGCATGGGCCACGGCTCCCCCTCCTCTTATAGTCCACACAGTTGTCTTTGCCTGCAATATCTGCTTCTAAGCAGTGGTACCAGGAAAGCTACCATCTCAGACTCTTCAAACATCTGGATAAAGCTTTCTAGCAATACAAATCATTTCCAGCGTCTGAAGTGCCAGAGCTTAGCAATGGAGGGCTTTCTTTATTCAATATTCTAACCTAATTTTGCCACTGCCACCAACCATCCATGGTCTTAGAGCAAATTCTGCTCTGCAAGAAGACAGTAAGGGAGGCAACTGACTGCCTCTATGCTGGGCTCCCAGTGGGACTGATTTATTGCAATTCCAACCAGCGGAAGTCCTTTTCTCTGCCCTGCAAGTGGGCAATGCCACAGCACAAAAACCTCAAACCAAGGCTGCTGCATGACCTTGGCTGAAGCCTTATTGGATGAAATGGTGGCTCACAGGTCATGGCAAAGCTATCTTGAGAGACCATCCTAGAGCAGCTTAATAAGAGGTGTTTGCTCTCTAGGATCATCTGATGGGATTTCTTCTTTCCTGTCCTTTGGAAATCCCAGAACTTCCTGTCAACAAGCCCAGCCTTGCTGGCTCAGCTTTCCCTGCTTCTGGTTGCAACCAGTTGTATCCTGTCTGTTAGAAGGGAGCTAAATACAAAAGGGCAAAGATCAGGCCTCATACTGGCCACTGCCCTGATGTAGAATCTTTCTCTCTCTCAAAAGCCCTAACTTTCCACTTGGCTATATAATCTCTCTCAGTCCCTTCCATGCCCTGTCATAATATCATTGCCCAAAATCCATTGCTACTGGATAAATGTCACAAGGAGTGAGAAGGAGAGATTAAGGATTTCCTTATTTTGTTGCTTTGTGCAGCTTTGGATCTGAAGGCCTGGGGCTGACTTTATTCTTTCCCTGCCAACCCCCTCCTCCTTTTTTCATGTTCGATATGGAGAGGACAGGGCATCAGAGATATTCAGGTGCATGCTGTATCTCCTAGCGAGGGGTTCATTATTAGGATTATCATCTCATGAAAGATGTGTGTAAAAGCTGAAGAGTTAGGAGAAAGATGTTGTGCCATCACCAACATATAAATCAGAGTGTATTGAATAAAGGATGTGTTGGATTAGAAAAATAATGTGATATAGCGGCTAGAGTCTTCAAAGATCCATATCTGAGTCGGTCATCAAATTCACCATATCAGTGGTTCCAAACCTCAAGTAACCCAAGTGTTCTAGGACTGCTGTTTCCAGAAGCTTATATGACCAGCAGTGCTGGCCAGGATTTCTGGGAGCTGCAGTCCAAGAACATCTGGATTACCTAAGGTTGGGAACCACTACACAAGATGATCTTGGCCTATCATTCTCTACTGTAGCCCTACCTACCCTAAAATGTTCTTACAGGATACAGAGCAAAGCCACATATGCAGCCCCCGTCTGGATTACCTAAGGTTGGGAACCACTGCACAAGATGATCTTGGCCTGTCATTCTCTACTGTAGCCCTACCTACCTTAAAATGTTCTTACAGGATACGGAGCAGGGCCACATATGCAGCCCTCATCTCACTGATGGAGAGGCAGGATGCTCAAAATGTATCCTCACAACTACTTACTTTGGAATAATCCTTGAATGCTCAGACAAAAAACCAGGAAGCTGTTGCCATCGTACAAATGCACAATGTTAGTGTATTCATTTGTGGAAACTAGTTTGGAGCTGATTATTTTTAGAAGTATTACAACCCAATCTTTTCCCTAAGTCAGGAGAACAGTACTAATTTCCTATTATGGCCATTTTACAGATTTAGAAGTGTGGTCTGAGCAAGTCATGGTAACCATAGCACAGCAGAGAGCAAAGGAAAAAGCCCGAGAAAAAACTTAAGACCAAAGACTACCATCTGTTTATCTTAGCAGAGGAAAGGTCAAGAAGTGATCTAATAAGAATCTGTAAACCATATTAGTATCAAATGGCTTAAGAATGTTCTTTTGCCCTTCCAAGCAGAGAACAGAGCAGGCACAATTTGATGAGAGCAGGCACAATTTTCCAACAGGTACCAGTTGAAGATTCCTGCCCCACCCCGCATGTATAACCAAAAAGGAAAAGGATGTATAAGCAAAAAGGAAAAACCAAAGGAAATAGCAAAAACAAGAAAAGAAACAATGTCTTTTGGCACTAAATCAAGCATGATACATTCTAGTTAGCAAATCCTCACGTCTTATGCTGAAGCATCAAGCACTGTCTGCATTTATGTGTCACTGTCCATAATTAGCAGATCAGATGCAAACAAGGTTGTTTAACAATCTTCTTCTCTAAATCTAATCAAAAGAGGAGGGAATTCTTTGCCCTAGGTGCAGATTTTGCAGTCTGATCGGACACGGTGTCCTTTAAAGACATGGCTCTCTGGACCGGTGGGCAGTGAGAGGAAAGAACCAACAACCCCATGAGCAGATCTTTCTGACCCAGATTCAAAGCTATCATTAATTTAATTCTGAATGTGCCTCTTTAAAATGAAAATCCACATTAGACCAAACCGTCTAGGTTACTACTCGTTTATAAAGATAGAAAATAAGCTCTGTGCCAAAGAGTTGGGTCTGGCAAGAAAGGTGGCACCATCAATAGTCACACCCAGAACTCTGTTCTAAGAATAAGTCACTTGTCATGCATCCCAGAGCCTCTATTTCAAGGCTGGAAAACTCTTTTGGTTCTCCAAAAGTTGTTGGACTGCAGCTCCCATCAACCTTGGCCAACAGAAGCAATGGTGAGGGAGTTACAATTCGAGAAACTTCAGGAGGACCACAGGAGCCCACCTACCCGGAACCTGTCCTTGGCATGTGGGAGAATTATCTAGAAGGGAAGCAGAACAATTATCTTGCAGTCAGCAACAAAGCACAGCCTGTTGGATCAACATGTTGGATCTCTCAGGTGTCTGGGATAGGCCCCCAAATCAACTCCGAAAGGGTGTGGAGCTTCTCCCCAACCCCAGGAAATTTGGAAATGTTTCATAAATACAGCTGGAGCAAGGACTGGTAGGATGGTGGTGACAAGAGCACTGGAGAAGAGTATAAGTGGCTTGGAGAGAAGTGTAAAGCATCAAGGTAAAAGATACTCTTTGTGTAGGCAAGGCCTTAGCAAAGGTTGGCATGAGATAGATGAGTCTTGGCATTGCTTTTTTTGAAGACAGGCAGGGCTGACAGGTGACTCTGCCCTTTGCTTACCCTTTTTTGTTACTCCATGTCTGATCAGGGAAGAATACCTATTCAGGATCAGGAGAGAACTCCAGACACACAGATAAGCATAGGTAGTGTGGGATGGGATTTTGTGATAAGAACACAGCAACAAGGATGAGCACCTTAGTCTCACCTCTGCTTGAGCTTCTGTAGGTCATCCAGCAGATTGTCCCTCTCCACATCAACACGTGCTCGCTGGTTGGTCAGCAGCTCCACCTGCCGCCGCAGCTCCCTCAGCTCCTCTTCATACATCTCAGCAACACGCGTGGGCTCCTTGCCCTTGAGGCGGTTGACTTCGGCCACCATGAGGGCATTCTGCTGCTCGAGAAAACGCACCTTTTCGATGTAGTTAGCAAAACGGTCGTTGAGCTCCTGAAGTTCCACCTTCTCGTTGGTGCGTGTCTGCAGGAACTCCTGGTTCATGGCATCGGCCAGGGAGAAGTCAAGGAGGTCCCCGGCACCTTGGTAGGCTGAGCGCAAGGGAGCGGAGTAGCTGGCTCGGAAGCTAGATAGGCTGGGTGGCGCAGCAGCGCGGGTCACTTGGTAGACTCGGGAGGAGATGGAGCTGGCCGAAGAGCCCTTGCTGGCACCAAAGGAGGCTCGCGGGAAAGAAGGTGAGCCTGGTGCCCCACCAAAGGTTCGGCGGTATGAGGAGAGCCGCTGGCTGGAAGAATAGGACTGGCTCATGGTGACGGCTGGATGGGATGCAGGCAGGAAGGCAACAGCTGCTCTGGGCAAGCAAGTCAGAGTCGGGACGGGGAACCGAGCTCTGGCTATTTGTATCCCTGAGTCTTGACATCATCCCTCTGTCCCCTCCCTGTTCCCTCCCCACACACTTCAGTTCCCAGTTTGGAACAGCTGTGGATTCCTCTCTCAGTGAGTGAGAGATCTCTTGTGAGGCTGGGGTGGGGAGGTAGATAAATGGCAGCAAGGAGTCATGAGATACAACAGTTCCGATAGGCTTGGCAACAGCCCGGCCTTGCCAGGTCCAGAATAGATTCCTGATATAAAGATGTTCAAGATGAACATCCTTCTATCAGGGATGAAGGGGGTGTTTGGAAAACGCCAGGATTGGGAAATGAAAGGACATGAGCGGTGTGGGAGAACTCTGAAGGGGTGTCTCAGCGGTGGGAGAAAAAGTTTCCAGTGGGCAAACAGCCACATAAGAACCGTGTTTTAGGAGCAGAGAAAAGAAACAGAAAGAATATATTCAGACATTTAGATTCCACAACAGTAACTATAAATAAAAATATCTCCATGTAAGTCACACACCCCTAAAGGTCTAATCAGGAAAGCACATTCTCATAGCTCGAAGTGAAACCAAATCACTGGCAGCATTTACGGAAAAGGCTAAGTAAACATCTTCTAGAGTAACTGAAGTACGTTTAACCTTACAGTATATCCACTCTAAATGCTAAGAAGTGGACCAGACTGGCTTTGCGGGCTGTTTTCTGTTTCCAGCTCCACTTTCTGGCTGGGCCGCATCTGCAGGCTAATCCACATTGACTCCTATGTGTGTGTTCTTGGTTGTATGTGCCTGTGAAATCAGAAGAGTAAATCCCAGAGTAAGCCTAGAGATGGTGGGTTCTTAAAGTGCCAAAAGGACTTCCACTGCCATGCATCCACAGCTGGAATAACTATTTCCAGGGAGGGGTTTTCCCATGACTTCCCCAATAACAAACTGTGAAGCCAATCTGAAATGAGTTAGTTTGACGCAGAGCTCACAGACCATGGCAGAGTCCTTGGCTTGGAGTCGGGAGGACAACACAAGCCATGTAGACTTGGAAAATGAGGTTAGGATATCCTGGCTACTGTTCCCCCTTCCAGTGTGGAGCTGAGTCATTGGCAATCTCCGAGTGAGATAATTCCAGCCTTCAGTCAGGGAGCTGCTGTTTATCCATGTGCCCAGAATGGAGCCAGCTGGTGACGTCAGAAGCTATATTCTCTGAATCTCCACCCCCTTTGCATTCTCCGGGTGGCAGCCACTAAACCTAAATAGCCCCACCGCTATGCTATGCCTGCTTGTCCCAGGGCTATTCAGAGCCCAGTGGATGGGGGTGGGGGATGGGGAGTGAAAGAAATGTTAACCCTTTTGGCTCCTGGGGATAAGCCAACATAGGAATTACCCTGCTGTACGAGATTAAAACCCTAGTTGTAGTCCAGCACCCTGTTTCGCAGAGTAACCACGTGATGCCTCAGGGAAGCCCACACCCAGGACATGAAGACAGTAGCCTTTTCCTGCTCTTGGTCCCCAGGGACTGATATTCAGACGCATGGCACCTTTGATCTGCACTGGTAGCCTTTCCTCCACAAATGTATGTGACCTCTCCTTCAAAAACTACATATACTGTATTAGTAGCACAGGTGTCCAACTACTCAGTCCCTATCCTGCCTCTGCCTGCAGTCATCACTGCCTCTTGTGTAAGCCTAGTTTAATTAGGTGCTACGTGAAGTAGTGAGAACCAGTGCGGATAAAGTGGATAAAGTGTCAGATTAGGACTCAAGAGATCTGGATTCAAATCTCTGCTCAGTTATGGAAATTCACTGAGGAGTTGCAATGCATTTCTTAAGTATTTCATATACCTCAAAAGCCCTGTTAGTTTTGCCATCCATTGGAAGTGAATTGATGGCATGCACATAATATGCAGACGCACAGGGCTGTACTTCCTGTGGTTCGTTCTGAATCTTATGTCAGTTTTTTTAAATGGAATGGCCCAGATTCAAGTATTTAGTTTAGAAAGGTAATCTCTTTTTATTTATTTTTTATTTTCTACACTCTTGAATAACTTGAGAAACCTCGGTCATTTCAGAGAAGACTTGGAAAGGACCTCAGAGGCAATTCTAAACCAACATTCTGCAGGAAATCCAATACAACAGAATTCTCGATATGTGGCCATCCAACCTCTGGTTAAAATCTTTTAAGAAATCTCATACCCACCTTAACCCCCCTAAATTAAAAAAAAATCCCAGTGGTGCATTGATGCAATGATGCTGCATTGTTTTCATCTTTGGGTCCCTTGTTGGGAGAAATGCGGCATATAAAACTACTACTACTACTACTACTACTACTACTACTACTACTACTGCTGCTGCTGCTGCTGCTGCTGCTGCTGCTGCTGCTGCTACTACTACTACTACTACTACACTAGAATAAATAAATAAATCTTGAATGCCATGGGTGGCCACCCTAAAACTACCTAAAATGTTTATAAATAAATAATACATAACAATGTTTCCATCCAGTTCAGTTGCTTCAACCATATGGTAAATATGATTGTTCCTATTTTTGCAAGGGGGGGGAGCTTTTTTTATTTTCGCTAGTATTCCAGTACCTTTTAAATATGTGGTAACCAGCACTGCACACCACATTCCAATCATGGTGGCAACACAGAGTTCTATAAAGGTATTACAACAGTGGCCATTTTGTAGCAGCCAACAACAGCATGGACTCCCAGTAGCATATGGCAGGGCTAGCTATGATCTTAAGGGTGTGGCTCACTTGCTCGTCTTCTTCTGGCATTATAAGTGTGTTTGTACAACTCAACGCTGCAGGGGATTACTGGATTGAGAAGAGGAATGCCAAATAGATGGTGCATCAAACAAACCACATCTGTTATAGTTAGTGGTACTGCAATATTGTGAAAAAAAATTGAGGGTTCTTAGTGGTGGCTGCATTTGGTCTATAGGACAAGAAACATGGATAATGCAAATGAGAGCATAATCCATAGATAATGTAAACGTATTTGTCCTTCTCTTTGGTTTGTTGCTAAGGTGGATTGCTCCACTCTTTTTTCCAGCATCCACATGGTGAGTGGACCAATTTGCCCCCAGGGCACCCCAACCTGCACCTTTTTGAGCCCGTCAGGGGCTTCTCCTTTTTAAAATGTGGGTTCCCAGCACATGTGTCTGTTCTCCGGACATTTGGTTGTTGGAAAAGGACTAAAATCAGCCATGAAAGCTCAACAAGACAAAGATGCAGACTAAGGATTTACAAGGATTTACAAGCAAGGACTTACAAGCAAGCCTTCTCTCGTTTCTTAACCCACTCAGTTTTGTAACCGTTTGCCTCAATAAGAAGACATCAGTGGTCTCAAAAGCCTGCACTATTTTTTCCACTTTTTTAATTGGCCAAACCAATTTGTCAACCGGCGTGCAGTTTTGACGGACTAGCAGGGAGTCTCCATATCTGTCTTTCAAGCTGCCATTTCCCAGAATTTGGAAATGTTACTTTTTGGATTTACACCCCCCAACACTTGCCAACAAATGTAACCTGACTGTGGGATCACACTTCAAAAGTAACTTTTCAGAGCCCTGCAATTTTCAAGAAGGAAAGAGCAGGCTGAAGTGTGAGTAAAGGAGCTTTGTGTCTGTCCAGTCTTTGCAATGTGGCTGACATTCTTCCCTGCCCCTGCAGCTCTTAGGCAAAGGAGGCAATGACCCTCTTTGCTAATAGCCTCCTCACATCCTGCGTCTCTCTTCCTCCCTTCCCTCAACTGGAGCACCTCCAACAAGAGGGTAAGGTTGGGCTCATCCCACTACTGCAGCCAGAGCCTTCTTGCCTGACTGTAAAAGGGAAGGTATTTCCAGATGAGGATTGTCTCATCCTAACAATGTTCGGGAGGTGGAGATGATGATGATGGAGAAAACTAGCAAAAGCTGGAAATAAGCTAAACCACCCCTTTTCTATTCAGCCATGTAGCCTGATTTCCGCACAGTTCCCCCCACAGCCTTGACCTCTACATGACTCCGTCTCCTGGCTAATCCTGTTCTATCATCTCCTGCAGCGTTTTTCTGCTTCTACCTTTAAAAAAAAAACTCCCCTAATATGGAATTAGAAGATTCTAAGACCAGATGTAATTCTGACATTGTTCTTAGTATAACTTTGAAAACTAAAATGATCTTGCAGATCTGCCAACTTGGAGGGGGGCTGTTTAAGTATGGGACGGCTGAAGAAGTGATGGGAATTTTACTGTGTACTTTATTTAAGAAACAACAACGTCCTTATATAGTAGACACAAGCAGATGTGTTTTCTGTTTTTCATAACTCCATCCCCCAGAAGCAGATTAAGCAACCGAAGAGATATTACTGATGTGAGATAATTGGTGTATATTACAGCCCTTGCTATGATTTATGCAGTTGAATTGGTTGGTGAATGAACAGCACAGTCATAACATTCTGTGTGATGTTGCTGAAGCATGTCTGAAACAAATGCAAATTTGTTTGAATATATTTATTATTATTTTTGAGTTTGGTTAATTATTTAAGAACCTTTGAAAATGTTCAGGCAAAGAAAGCTAGTCTAACCCAGATACAAAGGAGAACAGATGCTCAGCTGGAAAATATATTATTTATCTATGCAAACATGAAGATAAACTTTGCTCTGGTTTCAAACAAATTGTTCTTTTTTGTTTTGTTTTTGTGGTATGTTTTAAAGTTTGCATTTTTTCACAACTTTTCTGTTTATTATTGCTGTTATTGTTTTGCTCTAGGTGCGACGATAGTCTGGTTTCTATGCTTAGCGTTGTTTTCTTGCTAGGTGATTGTTTTATAAATATGAATAAAAAACAGAAGTTTAGAGAAATCCACTAAGGGCATTATTTAAGGAAGGTAAAATTGGAGATCTATTTCCATTGGTGTTCCCCTGAAAATTATTCAGATTACAAGTTTTTCCTTAGGGACAGCTGATTATTGTGGGGGCAAGTCCAAGAGAAAAGGAAAAGTTTGTTTTGCTTTGCTTTGCTCTGCTTTATTTTGCTGCCAAGCAATGCCTTT